CAACGCGCCAGGCAGGCCGTCGACATCGATCGCTTAATAGACTGGATTTTGGGGATCACAACGTTGTTGGCGCGTGGAGGTGCACGCGCCACTCGGAATGTAAATCGGGGTTTGAAATTTGAAGTTCGCCCTCTGCCCGTTCCTCTCCTCATTTTCTTGTCTTCGTGTCCGATCACCCCTCCTTGAACGACAATACCCGTTTCCCTTCTCTAATTCATAATGTAAGTATCCAGCATTCCCTTTATCGTCTACTGCGCCACGCGTTTCGCCCAATTTATGCCACGAAACGCGATTAAAGTCGCGTTTCTTTGTCGAACCACTTTCGCGTCTCTGTGCTGGCAGTTCCTGACGGCTTCCTTTCAGCATGCGTGAAATTGTACATCTCCAGACAGGCCAGGTATGTATCCTATCATCTCTCATTTGCACTGCGACTGACTTGCTGATCGTGTCGATAGTGTGGTAACCAAATTGGTGTGTTTCGACATCCTCTTCCTCGATTCTCATTCTCATACCTTCTTCTCTCTACCAAGGTGCCAAGTTCTGGGAGGTCGTTTCCGATGAGCATGGGATTGGTCCCGATGGTCTTTACCAGGGAAACAGCGATATCCAACTAGAGCGCATTTCGGTCTACTACAACGAGACTGGCGCTAACAAGTACGTTCCTCGTGCCGTCCTAGTTGATCTCGAACCGGGAACTATGGACTCTGTCCGATCTGGCCCTCTTGGCAACCTTTTCCGCCCCGATAACTTTGTTTTTGGCCAAAGCGGTGCTGGCAACAACTGGGCGAAAGGACGTGCGTATCTTGTGCCATTTTCTCGTTATACGATGCTCATTCGAGTAATAGACTACACCGAGGGTGCCGAGCTTGTTGACTCCGTTCTCGATGTTGTTCGCAAGGAGGCTGAGGGTACCGATTGCCTTCAAGGTGAGCAACTAATTCCATTGAATAGAGACAACATCTGACTCGTCCAACAGGCTTCCAAATCACACACTCGCTTGGTGGTGGAACCGGTGCCGGTATGGGTACTCTTTTGATTTCGAAGATTCGTGAGGAATATCCCGATCGGATGATGTGCACATACTCTGTCGTGCCCAGTCCTAAGGTCTCCGATACCGTCGTCGAGGTGTGTGGCTTTATCATCTGCTAATATGCGTATTTTAACTGGCGATCAGCCTTACAACGCGACCCTCTCCGTCCACCAACTTGTCGAGAACTCTGACGAGACTTTCTGTATCGATAACGAAGCTCTTTACGATATCTGCTTCAGAACTCTCAAACTCTCTACCCCGACATACGGCGACCTCAACCACCTCGTTTCCATTGTCATGTCTGGTATCACCACTTGCTTGCGCTTCCCCGGTCAGCTCAACTCCGATTTGAGGAAGTTGGCCGTCAACATGGGTTCGTTGTCGATGTTTCAATTATTCAGCGTCATGACTAATGACGATCTCCCATAGTTCCTTTCCCTCGTCTCCACTTCTTCATGACTGGTTTCGCCCCTCTGACTGCCCGCGGTAGCCAACAATACCGTGCCGTCACCGTCCCTGAGCTCACCCAGCAAATGTTCGATGCCAAGAACATGATGGCTGCCACTGACCCCAGACACGGTCGTTACCTCACCGTACGTTTAAAACTTACTTTGGCATCCTTATCACTAATTCGTTTCTCAGGTCGCCGCTGTCTTCCGTGGCAAGGTCTCGATGAAGGAGGTTGAGGAGCAGATGCAAAACGTCCAGAACAAGAACTCTGCGTACTTCGTCGAATGGATCCCCAACAACGTCCAGACCGCTCAGTGTGACATTGCACCCCGTGGTCTCAAGATGGCTGTTACCTTCCTCGGTAACTCTACCGCCATCCAGGAGCTCTTCAAGCGTGTCAGCGACCAGTTCACTGCCATGTTCAAGAGGAAGGCTTTCTTGCATTGGTACACTCAGGAGGGTATGGACGAGATGGAGGTATGTTTATCCTTGTTTGTATCATCACCTTTTTATTCACATGCATTTCCTCGTAGTTCACCGAAGCCGAGTCCAACATGCAGGATTTGGTTGCTGAGTACCAACAGTACCAGGACGCCACGTACGTGACTTTTTTAATGAATTTTGAATGACGGCTAATGTATTATGGAATGAATAGTGCTGATGAGGAGGAGGGCGAGTACGAGGAAGAACCTGCAGAGGAAGAATAATTGCATCATACAACATACCCTCCCATACCCCTCCCCCCTCAAAATATCAGGGCCCGCTCATAGTATACGTTGTCTTTTACCCTAGTCCTTGCAGTCATTGTATCCGCACGCTTTTTACGACCCTTTCGGTTCTATTTTGATGAATTACTTTCGTGGATCATGCGAGTGTAGAACTTGAGACGATATCCTTATGTGAAGCTCGAGGAAGCAGAGAACACTTGTCTTGTTGACGGAGGAAGCATATACGATTCGTTACGATTCGTGTAAGTGGAGCCCAGTCAGCGCCGCTCAAGCGCTCAGACTCGAAGATCAATTCTTAGCTTCCTCTGCACTGTTCTGCAGCAAAAGATAACTCTAGGACAAGGATTTCAGGGTACGACGGGATCTTGTACAAGTATACAGATGAATGACGATAACGTAAAGAGCAAACAGATTTGGTCGGATTCGAGAGAAAAGTGAAGTACATGCGGATACATTCCAAGTATAATTACTATGCAGGTC